CGCGTCGCCTGCTTCGCTATTCGAGCGACTCAAAGGTAGGTACAAGGGACGAGGATAGGTACATAGCAGCCACAGCTAATTCCAGTAGTGGGGCTGTGTTTGTGGCTTGACCCTTGTCTAGCGTGATTTAACCCCTGCCGGGCAGAGCAAATAGTCAACAAGGGCCGAGCAAATAGTCGTTCCCGATAACGCGCAAAGAGGTTGGGGTCTAGGATCGAGGGCCCAGGGTTCTAGGCGATGATCAGGAACATGATAAACGCCAGAGGCTCCATGTCAAAGTATTTCCCCTCGTGGCACGAAGACAGACGCCCATTCCAACTCCAGAACAGGGGTTTTCACGTTTTCACAGGCGACAGCTGTGTAACAGCTGGCGATGTCGATAGCACTCTACACGTGACTGTGATTCCACTCACGTGCAGCTTTCGTGTCAGCCTTGAAACCAGGCGCTGTGATGGTCCTGGGTCGCGAAATTGATGAGCGAGTATACTTGTGTGCAAACGTCAGGCTGACTGGGCACTCTGAGCCGTCGAATAGGTGAAAAGGACACTGTGGGCAAGCTTTCACTCACAGAGTCGACTTCAACTCGCCACTTGGCAAGACAGCCTTTTATTGTGCGACTCACCTCACCTTCCTGGTTGGTACTGTTCGCTGCGTTCGCTCCGGCCTCGAGAGCCAGTTGACACCGCCGTAGTCTTTCTCCTCTCCCTGCGACTTGTTCCTGACGATCGAGAGGCAATATTGCAAGTGGAAATCAGATCTGCGAGAATCAGAACGATCACTCAACACGCGCAAAGTCAACAACGGCGCTTCACCGCTCCATACCTCGATTCGTGGGAAACGGCGGGAGCTTGATGAGGGTGAGCAACTCAGTGAAAGTTGGTCAGCGTCAGCGGGGTGTGAGAGAAAAGAGGCAACTGGGTTATTGCCCGGTCTGGCCTGGCCTGGCCCACCCTCGACTCCCCCGCTCAGCCCTCATCTCCCTTTTGCGCAGAGTCAAGCTGAAGGTGCGCGGGCGGCGCGGCCAGAGAAGGGGGGGAGTCAGCATCAGCGCAGGACAAATCTGTCATCGTCTTGGGGCCATCACCAAGTCTCATCATCAGCACTCAACTTGCGCGTCGTCGTTCGACATCTGAGCAAATCAGTTGCATGCTCGCGCGCGCAACAGGTCGCCGGTCTGTTCGCCATCAGCGCAGGGCGCTCGTTTCCAGCTGTCCAGTTTTCCAAGTCGGCACACCGTCACCGGCCACGACAGGGTCGCCATCTAAGTTGATTAGCACGATTCCCCGATGCAGGTTGCAACCCCCCTCGCGACAGCTGAGAGACGGAGCCGGTCGAGGATGCCATCGGGCGCTTCACCAGGGGCATGGAACGGAAGACCTTTGGGAGCGCTGCCCGCAACCCTGGTGAGTGTGTACTTTTTTCTTAGTCGCGTTCCGTCCCGATGCCAGCTGCGCATCGCGCGCCGACGGTCCCTCCTGTGTTGCAAGCGCAGCATTGCCTCCGTTCCCATTCCGACTGTCACAAATCAGGCATCGAGAGTGTCGACACAACAAAGGATCGCGCCGGCAGGAATACTAATCACACCCTACATTTCTGCACGGCAAGCTCCGTTGGTCGATCGATGGGCAGAAGGGCGACAAACGGCGCGCACTGAACTCCCATCTCTGGCGGCGCAGCGCGTGCTGGTGGGCTGATGTATTGACGACCATTCCGCGACAGGCGCCCGTTCTGAAGAGGAAGCGTCGTACTGGCACAGCAGCAACAGCATCAGCAGCAACAGCAGCAGCGACTGCTCAGCCTGGCGTGGCAGACGCAAAAAGCTGGTTTCCAGGCCAGCACCAGCAGCACCAGCAATCCAGCCACCGAGCGCGGTTTTCGACCGGTGAGACGAGCATAGGCGATGCGACCGTGGGGCTGCAATCACAGCAGGGATGGTGTCCTATAGGGTCGGACGACCAACAACAATGGTCGCATGCCGAACCTGCAAGGACTGCGACCATTGCTCCCAACGACAATGGGAATTGGGCCGGGAATCATGCTGGAAACAACGATATTTCCGCCAGCGTTTCGCATCCCGCCAACGGCCAGTGGACGGCGATCAACCTGGATGCGGCCGGGGGTTTGTCAACGAGGCCACCATCGCCAAGAGCGCCGTCACCACCGTCAGCACAATCGCCATTGTCGTGGAGCAAGGAGCCATGGGCATGTGCAGCGACGAGCTGCGAGACGGATCCGCCCTTGAAGCCAAGGCAGGAGCAGCCGATCATGACGATGGCACACGAGCCTTCTGGACATGCGGCAGGCGCACCTGGATCTGAGTTTGTGTCCGCATCACCGGCGGCATCTTGGCCACACACGCAACACCACGGGATGGCTCCTTCTCCTCTGGTATTTTTCATGCCATCCGACGGAAGCAGGCACGAGCCCAGAACCATTGCCGGCACACATCACAGCGGCAGGCACGACTCATACAACGTCTCGAATCTTCCACACAGTTGGCAAGGGCAACAGGAACAAAAATTTGTCACCGCCGTCAGAGCCAGCCCCGACTGGGTGCCCAGTGCTCTTGCCCACCAGGCTGTGGTACGCCACGACCTCACCTCTCCATCACGAACCGTCAGCTCCTTCCCTGCTGACCGGCCTCCCCGGGCTCACCGGTCTCCTTCCGAGTGGGGCGCTAGTAGTGCACCTGTCTCTGGCCTGGTGCCCGCCTCGAACTCCGCTTACACGGCAGGATCGACCCAGGCGATCCCGGCAACCACTGCGCTGGGTCCGACCGACCCTTGCGCACCCGGACGACAGCCGCAGCCCAACCATAGCCGCCCCCAAGAACTATGGCCGCTCAAGGACGAGGACCAGGGACGAGCAGTCGCCCATGCCCATGCACACAACCACCATCTCGGCCACAACCACAATCACGACCATGACCGTGTTGGCGGTGTCGCCAACCGACCCCTGGCCTCGGATCCAAGCCGCCCGGCCTCTCACTACCACTACCATGGCCTGCCTGCCAGCCCTGTCGTATGCCCTGACTGGTCCATGGACGTCGAGGACCCGGCATTTTGGGCCTCGTCTGTCGAGTCGGCTGCTCCCCACGCCCTCCAACACGTTCGGCCTTTGACTCGACACGGCCAGCGGTTTGCTTCCGGCTCTAGCTCCATCATCGGCGATTCGTCCACATCCACAGCCCTGGGACTGGTGACGACACGGTGCCAGCCCGCTTATCCACGTCCATCCCCTGCCGTGCCCCCTACGGCGTTGGCGACCAGCGGTGAGCAGCCGTGGTTTCTCTCGCCGTTCCTACAAGACCAGACTGATCTGCTGGGCCTTGACCAGCAAATCTTCCGTTCCCCGATCACGGACAGCCTGTCTCTCGACGAGAGTCACGGCCACCCTCAGCACCAGCTCACCCATCCCACTCCTAGCAACACCATGACCCTGATCTCACTTGACGGCACACGCGTGAGAGATGGCGTCTCCATCCGGCGGAGCGAGCAACAAGCAGCTGCGTTAGACTGGAGCGGCTCGTCCCTGGCGTCCGTCGAACATGTCGGCAACGTACCGGTGCATGGGCCCACCTTTGGACCTGCTAACCCACCAACGACCAACGACAACTGGGTGGATGAGTTTCCATACATGGTCAAGCCAGAAGAGGCTCCTCTCGAGTATAGAGATATGCATTTTCGGATCGCTTTGGCGCCAGCAAACGATGATGACAATGATCACGACGCTGCCGAAGACCCGGATGCCAACCACGCAGACAAGAAGCCTAGAGGTTGTTTCGACGATGAGAAGCGAAAACAGACGGCGGACACTCGAAGACGAAAGGCATGTGTTCGATGCCGAACCCAGCGGATACGAGTAAGAACCTTTCAGGCCCAAGGCGCCAATTGCAGCACACGATACAAGACTGACCAACCGTGACAGTGTGTCGAGAACCCCAACGATCCTCATGGCGACTGCATGACCTGTCTCAGTGTTGATACAACTTCGCGGAAGACAACTCGGCCCGTTCATTGCATGCGCTCCAAACTGACCGATATCATATTGTACCGTCCGGCAGGCTCCTTAAATTACACCCAGCGCTGGGACGGATCACGAGTGACTGATGTCAATGATTGGGATGGCCCGTTGATTCAACACATCGACATGATGCAGGATATTTGCCCCGTCGGCTTCCCCATCCGGCTGCAAGTACGCAAATTTCACCCTCGAGAAGGCGACAGAGTCCATCGCGAATGGTACACAGCCAGCAAAGCAAGACGACACGAGATTGCCCCGTACGCTCTGGCAAACCTCTCCAAAACCGTACAATACTTCAAGGATTACGTCTCGGAACATGCTGAACAGGCCTGGCGACAGTACTGGAAGCGGAAAGGACAAGACGACATCATCTCGCGGCACTATAGCGAGGCCATGGCGCACACCCACTCTTCGGTGAGTTTCCACGAGCAAGTTCACTTCGTCTGCGTACAAGTTGGTTGACCTGGCCACAGGATCTACCTCCTCAGGAACGAGAGCTTCTCGAGAATGTCTTCAAGCTTTGGTTCGCTACTCGTACGTGTCCATCCCTCTGCCTGCCGTTCCCTATCTCCCCGGCTCGCCCCTGACGTCCAGCCAGAAATCACGCTTGGGTCTTCTTGGATTTCCAGTGAGGACAAACTCGGCATCATGCCCGAAACGGACCCGGCATATCCCCAACCTAACAAGGCCCCCACTCCCAAGATGGTCGTTGCCCAGTTTGACAGGCTGAATCCCATCTACGTGCTGCGGCAGCTGCGTGCCAAGGTACTCAAAGGGCTGGAAAAACTCACGCAGTCGCCTCGGCGCGAGCCGTTTTTTACAGTTTACATGACTACATACATTCTGCTCCATGTGGTCACTTTGACCTGTCAAGACCGTCACGGCTACGCAAAGCGTCACAACAATCGACTTCGCTACGACATGCCCCCCTTTATCGAAAATCTACAGCATGGCGCCGTTCTTATGCTCTGTCATTGGGATTACTACAAGGGCCGTAGCAATGCCAAGGGCGAGGACAAGGCGCTCACCCTCGAAGAGATTCTCGAGAATGGAAGTGTGTCGCCGTCACAACGAACACTGATTCTCGACTCAGAAAGGCGTGTGACGCGGTTGAAAGCCGAGGGTATGTCTTGGACGCTGCTTGGACACGAACACAGACTCACTCTTCAATAGGCAAGATTGGGACCGAGGATTACGAGAACCCGTATTTTTGGATCAGCCAAATGTTCGACAAGTCTTGGTCCCCAGGTCAGGTCTGGCAGGCAAAGCACTACTAACTAGCCAAGTGGAGCTTCTGTCGAGGTATGAGATGATGATAGAAGGCGAATAACGCGGTGTACCTGCTTTCATGACGATCCATTTTTCCATCGCATATCCCATCACATATGAGTCTTTTCCAGCTTTGTCTTTCTTCATCGACGCACTTTATCGACACAGCACAGCCATTTGTACCCTAACACTGCGTCCATCAAGGCGAGAGATGGTTGTGGTTCATGGTGATTGTACTACCACTATGTACGGGCGGGCCAGTGCGGGTGTCAGGAGCGTGGAGGCGTATTCGGAAAATGTTGGCAGCAACATTGTATCCTACATGGCGACGTAACTGTGGGCAGGACGAGGACATTTGCTGAAAGGTAGTACTGCATTGCATTAACGGCAATGACTGGTGGCATATGGAGGAAGCGAGGATCATCGTGGCGGTAACAGTGGTCCCACAAGGGCCAGGGTCCGGTATCTCCCTTGGTTAGGCTGACTGAGATGACCACGGCGACCTCTCGGAGGCTAGAGGCGGTAGCCGTGGTGTGCGTTAGTGCGGAAGAAATGGCCTGATGGAGACATGACGAGCTGACGAGCACAACCGACCTATGGCAGCACCACAATTCAAGGGGAACGGTCGGGTCGGTAGCCACGGACTACGCTGTCCGATCTCGCACTTTGGCCCCCTCTGTGACTCTCAGTTCTCACCTCCAGGCAGCCACGTTATCAGTCGTTTCGTGGTGCTGGGCCAGCCGAGTGCTACCTGGCTCTACATGTACTTCTATTGGTGACCCTGACAGTGGCCTACGACCACATGGCAGAAGGGCATGGTGGCCACCCTTACAACCCACCGGGCGCATGCGGATGGCGGCTTCGCCACGTGCGCAGCATGCAGCGGCCAGGGGCGCCGCTAGCCATTTCCCCTCTCCCCTCTCCCTTCTCCCCCCGGGCTGCACCAGACCAGACCAGACCAGACCAGACCAGACCAGACCAGACAGGCCAGTCACCTATCCTGCATTGGCGGTCGAGGGGGATGCATTCCCGTCCTGTGCGGCGAGAGCTTGTTCTTGTCGTCCTTTTCGGTTCTCTGCTGTGAAACTTTGATGCTACCCTCTCTGCAGTTTTTCAAGGGGTTTTCTGTGCTGGCTCCGAAGTTTGTTTTGTTTCGCTTTGCCGTCATGTACATGTATGCTGCAGAGTGAGGAGGACACAGGCGCACGTTGTTTTTCACCCAAGGTCCAAACCGAGCCCGTGATCGCTCTGACACGGGCGGAGCCCACAGACTGGTGGGCGGCACGCTTCGAAGGAGGGACGTGGGAGGAGGGGGCGGGCCAAAAGGGCTGCTAGGCCGTCCGCACATGTGCCCCGTAGACCAGTAGCGCGGTGCGGAGGAAGGCGGGCAGCGAGAACAGAGGAGGGCGTTCGATGCGTGTCGCGTGGAAAGATCCGCCCGTCAGCTGCCGATCCCTTGGGAACTACATGTACGTAGGTACAAGGACACTCGCATCGCGGCGGGCAAAGGGGGGACAGACACCACGCGTGGCCGAGCGACGGCCCTGGTTTCTCTCTTTGTCAGTGCCTGCATCGAGACTAGAAAGGCGAGGGGGTGGTGGTGGTCGAGGTGGAACGGCAACGGCAGCTTTTTCCTTCGTCCATCAAGCAAAAAGGAGAGTGAGGGGGGGGGGCCCCGACAGAGGAACACGACACGGGTTTCTAGATTGCGTGTCTTTGACAGGCGCTGGGGGGTGCGTCGTTGACTTGGGCTGAAACAGATCGTCATGGGCGAAATGAGAAGTTCGGTTCTTCTTTTTTCTTTTGGTTTGTTTATATTTATTTTCCCTGTCGTTCTCTGACATGGTATGCTTTTTCTTAAGCTTCTGGCAAAGTGAAGGAAAATTACCCTGGCAGATGGGGGTTAGGAGGGGATGGCAGGCAGACTGTAGGGTGCGTGCGACTTGGCTTCGTGTCGGATGGCCAGATTGTTGGGTCGTGACACGAGGTGATCTGCATATGACTCCCACCCTGGGACCAAAAGAAAAAAGGTACCAACCAGCCAGGACAGAACCTCGGCTTGACCGACAGCAGATTAGATGCCCAGAGAGGCACCTCACCACGCGAACCACATGGGATGTGACGGTATGACGGATGACGATGCACGGGAGAGGAACGACGTACGCGGTGCATGCAGCAGCGGCGGCGGCGCCTCCCCAGCTAGCAGTTCCTCGTTCTGTCCTGCCCTGTTCCTCGTCCTGCCTGTGGTGCCTCTCGACTCACCTCTCAACGGGCTGCTGTAACAGACACGCGCTATTCCAAGCTGTCACAGTGATAGAACGGTACCCTGACTCCTCATGGCGCGGGTTGGCGGACTACCGGTGGCTACAGGGGGGGAGGGGGCGAGAAAGCGAGAGAGTCCGCCGACCGCACTCTGGGCTGCCAGGGCGGGCTTAGGGGCCGAACTGGGGCCTGAAGGGGGCCCTGTGGCTTAGGCCTTGCGCGCTGGGATTGGCCTGGACCTGCACCAGGCCCCTTCAGAAGCCTGTCCCAGACAGCCAGACAGGGCAGAAGGGTGTGTGGTGGTGACGGTGACCGGGGGTCATGGCTGTCGAGGTCCGCCTAGACGTTTGAGATGGGAGATCCCAGGTCCCTCCTTCCTCCCTTTCGTCCACTTACCCTCCCCAAGACACGCATTCCTTCCGCTCCTGGTCCTGCGCCTGCCTGCGCCTGCTCCTGCTCATGAACCACGCGGCACGTACCTTCTTCCCCTCGTCCCTTGTCGTGTCCTACGATACTTCCCTCCTTCATAATCAACTGGACCGAACCAAACCAATCGCCCCCCCCCCTTTCGCCTTGCCCCTTTCGCAACTCCCCTTTGCTCAAGCCTCCCCATTTCCGAACGCGATCGATCCCCTCCGACCGACCGGCGCTCGAAATCAGAAACACACACGGCTCTTCTTATCATCGAACCTGACGACAAGACAAAGACGGCGGCCCCCCAATTTCCGACCAAGGCCCCCCCCCCCCCCTCCCCCTCGCCTCGCCTCTAAACCTTCAACTCAACCCCCCCCGTCACATCGTCTGTCTCCGCTCTTGTCTGCCCAGCAGCCGGTTTGACCAAGATCGCTTCTCGACAAGGACCACACTTTTTTATTCCTCACACCTGCGCACCGTCGTCATACTCCCGCCAACATGCCTGTCTCCCTGGAATCCGCCCGGCCCATCATGGCGCCCTCGGTATGTCACCCTGATTCATCATGAAGCCCTTTCCTTCCCCTTCATCCCCGGTCCTGTCCAGCTGCTCTCCGTCACGCGCACATATACACTCGCCATCCACCACAGCCAACGATCCATCTCCACATCGTCTCTGCCATTGCCGTTGCTTCCCTTCTTCCTCTGACACACGCCAGGCCCGCACGTCCGTCCGCTACAGCACGTACAGCATGGCGCCCACCGTCCTGACCACCGACTCGGCCCACGCCGAGCTGCGCGACATCGAGTCCGGCCTCGACCGCATGGAGAACAAGGCCCTGACGTCCCAACGTGTCGAGCTGTCCGAGGAGAAGAGCGCCAACCTCAGCAAGCTCGCCCTCGGCGCCAAGCTCGAGCGCGCCCTCGACAGGCGCATGAGCAGCCAGGACGCCGTCATGCGCCGACCCCCCGCCGCGAAGCTGAGCGAGAAGCAGGCCATCTAAGGTGCCGCAGACGAGCAACGCCGCGACACTCTATTCCTTTTCTTTTTTTTCCCCCCAATCAGCATGGGTTTCTTTGCATGAAGAAAACGTGGGGTCGAGGCCGTGGACGAATACGAATGATACCTTGAATACGGCGGCCGTACAGCGACGGACTGAAACGATTTTCAATGGCGTGGGGAGAGAGAGAGAGAGAGAGACAGGAGGCTCAGAAAGCGGCAGAAGAGGCCCAGCAACGCCGACTGCGCCAAAACCTGAGTGAATCGGAGTCGAGGGCTGAAGAGATGGTCCCGTGAACAAGGCGGCTTGTCAGGCAAACGATATAGGACATGCCGTGTTGCGCTCAGTCAATTCGCGGGAGATAATAGACTCGGAGGGCGGACCGTAGAGGAGGTATGATGCTCCGCGCGTCTCGGATTCGTGGGCGCCGTATACTGGCTGGCAGACAGGCGCGGCGATGGTCGGTCCTCAGCATACCGGAAAGGGTGGTCAGAGGCATGGTTTATTGGCACTCGTCATTACATTGGGTTTACTCAGCTGGCCACGGGGTCTTGATTTCAATTTTTTTTTCTACACCTGAAGCTACAATGAGCCTTGCTGTTTCGAAGTGTTTGTCTGACTGTCCGTGAAAAGAACGAAAAAAAGTGCAACGCGACTGCCGTTTCAAACCATGCTTCATCGTCCGCAGTGAACGGCCATTCGTCTGTCTCTCGAGGTATCTCATGCACCCCCCAATTGCGAAAACTGATCATATCCGATACAAAAAAACGAATTAGAAAACTCCTGCTCTCCCAGGCCCGACATTGCCGAGCGGACGGTGCCTCCTGGCTCGCTCAGCGTTCGTGCTCATCCGGCTCCTGAGTCTCTTGCTCCGCCTGACAGCCACGCGCACTCCGTGGGTGGCGAGGTACTGCATCGCCTCGAAAGCATCAACCACCTAAGCCTTGGAGCCCTTGGCGATGCGCGTCTCGATGTCCCTCAGCAGCGCGACGAGCTCGGCCTCCTCGCCCTCCATGCCGAGGCCGCGGCGCACCCACTCGCGCGCCTCCTCGAGGCGGCCCATCTCCTGCAGGCAGCGGCCGCGGCGCCACCAGGCCTTGGCGTTGCCGACCTTGCGCGCCTCGACGCTCGCCTCGGCGTCGACGCTGCCCTCGGCCCACTGCGTCAGCGCCATGTGCGCCTGCGCGCGGTTGGCGTAGAGCCCGGCGACCTCCTCGCGCACGAGCTGGTTGGGCTCCCACGGCGGCCGCTGCAGCGCCATCTGGATGCCGAGCGTGTAGAACTTGATGGCCTCGGGGAACTTGCCCTTGCGGAACTCGCCGTTGCCGCTGTCGCGCAGCTTGGCCACGCCGGCGCTGCGCTTCGGGTTCACGGGCACCGGCGGCGGCGGGATGCCGTGCGGCGTCTCGAGGCCCAGCAGCGTCCGGTGCAGCGTGTTCAGCGCCTCGAGCTCCGTCGTCAGCGCGCGGTTCGAGCTCGCTGACGTGATGGCCTTGGACTGCGCGTCCATCTGCAGCGGCAGGGCGTCAAAGTGTGTGAGGGCCGACATGGTGGGCTGGCGAGGGGGGGCCGTTGGCGGTTTCCTCTTCTTTGGTGTGTATGTGTGTGTGTGTGTGTGTGTCTGATGGGAATGCAATCGGATGGTCGGTAGGCGTCAGAGAGGTTTTGCTTCTTTATCGTGCCCGCCGCCGTAATCGTGTGCTGCGTTTGCAAGAGCTGGGTGTAGCTGTCGAGTCGTGATCGTCCCGTCTGGTATCCCTCCGCCGTGGGTCGTCGTGTCACTCGAGGTGTCTCGATAAAGGACACTTTTCGGAAAGAGCTGCCTTATCGGGCGCGGGAAGCGTCATCACGTGCCGATAAGATGTACCTTGCGAGAGTGGGGGCGGCCCAGCCGTCCGTGTCAGTGGTCTCACATGGAAACCACATCCCCGCCGGGCTGAGGGGGCAAAACATCCGTCTCACTGTCATTTTCCACGCAGCCGACCTTGTCCGTCTTGCTTTTGTATCTACACGGCCGAGCTAGACGGCCCGACCGTGTGTGCCTTCTTGAAACGACACATCATGCGGCCCACAGAGCGCTGTGCTGCCGTTTCTTGGCCAGACCCTCGAATAGTTTCAGCGTCTACCGTCGCTGATCATTGTGGTCGAATGGTTCGTCACATCGTGTTTATGAAATCTCACAGGGATTGTTTGGGGAACGGATGTAGCAGAGGGCTGCAGACGCCTCGACTCATGCTGTTGTCTCTGAAAGTAGGGCGTATCTTGAATATTGCGCGCCTCGGTAGATGCAGCGTATGTAGCAGATCCGAGATCATTGTTTAGGGACCGATCAGACCCCCTGCATAGTCCCTTACCTCTCTTTATTATCAGGGTTCACGATATGAGACGTCGTGGCTATTGCGGGAACCTTCCGAGAGATGTCGTGGAGCCATGAACATAGGCCAGGCAATGAACATAGGTCAACCAATGAGCCCAATCTACTCTTCGTATCACAAGTGCGAGGACTGTAATGTATAACCTGAGGAGAGCCGTGGGTCGGTAACCGAGCATCAATGACTGTGATCGACATCAGCGTGCATATATAACCGGCCTGCCGCTTCAAGTGCCGTCGTGGGGATGGCGGCAATGTCTGAGATCCGACGATGATCCGGCGGGCGATGAGACTACCAGTGCACTGGTGCTCACAGCAATAACGTCTGCGGTCATGCAAGGCTGACAATGGTTCTTCCTGCCACGAGCAGGGGGGTAGCACATGGGCTATGAGGCGAGATCGACTGCCAAGATTCCTTCAAGCGATGCGTACTGCCGGTATTCCTTCTCTTACTCCATGCTCAAATCACCTGGACCCGGACATACCATTTTATGCGCGACCTGCGCTAGGGAGCAGAGATTAGCCAACTCAAGGTCGCCTAACGCAGTATCGTTCGACGCCGTGATCGGAACAGAAACGGTCGCATGACGCGACCCGGATTCAACCAGCTTCATTTTAGGAATCCCTCTCGTGTGGAGCAAGTGATTCAGGAGTCAATGAGGAGATTTGGCCCGAAGTCTGTCAGAAGGCATGGCATTGGCAGCTGAATACGTGCGGCCGCTCAACCGGCTTTCGCGGTTGGCATGTCTACATTTCAGACTGCCAGCCATTCAAAAGTTACCTCACAGATCCAAAATACAGCAGACAACTCGTGATATGAAGGACGTCACTCTTAATGGTATTGAAGCTTGGGGCTGATGGGCACGACATGGCGCGGCCCACAGATACCCAAAACTGCGAATGGAGCCACATTAAAATTAAAACACCAAAAACATACAACATCAGGGATTCGCTGGTGGTCACCCACCCAACTACTAGTCCGACCCTTACTGGCTTATCTATGGGAGAGCGGACGGGATCCCGAGTTCTCCAGTAGGTATGGTCGTATGTGCTTGAAGCGGCTGTTCGGCAGGTTCAAGTCGTGGGTGGAACGGATCGTGAGGATACGGGAGTCAGTGACCCATCTGCAGCCGATGTGCATCACAAACATGTGGATCCGTCTTGGCTAGTTGGCCAAGTTGGCAATTAAGTGGTGTTGGTATGGGAAACTTCATCACCCTCTTGGCTTTGATCAAGGGATCCATGAGACGCCCACAAACCCGAGACAAAGTTCTAGCCTAGTATCCCACAGAATCAAAGTCAGCAAGCCAAAAAAAAATTCCACCGTAGGATGCCTTCTTACTTTTCAAATGCGGGACGATGTCCTCCAGCATGATAAGGTTCCCGCCTTCTGAAATCTGGATCGGGGTATAGCCTCTTGGCCTGCAGCTAAGGACAGGTTGCGACTCGTGCCCTCTGTAAGATGACTTCGAAGCTAAAATGATTGGTTTCAGTCCAAACTCTTCTTTTCCTGACTTCTCGCTTGGAAGCTTTTATATGTATATATATATATCCATGTATATTCGTTGGTGTGATGTCACCTCGCGACTAAGTTCAAGTGCTACCTCGCAGCACGGAACACCGCAAGAGGCTAACTCTAGACAGCAACTGTTGGTGCCGAAAGCTAGATGAGAGGCCACGAATGCACTTGGAGACATCCCTGGGAAGAATACCGTTCGTGCCGACTGTCACGCTTCCAACGACCAATGCCACATGGCAAGATAGTTGCACGTCGCCGCCCACATTCAGTCGCCTACGTCACGAACTTGCCGCGGAGCCGACGGGATCCTGTCCGACGCGGTTCTTTGTCCAACGCGGAGACTTTTCTGTTCCTTCGATGACATCTTAATTCCAGCCTGCATGGAGCATCATGGTGCCTGTGGCTGCGATCGGGCCTGGAAACGGAGCCGCCTCCACGTACTCGATTCCGCAGGCGCGTCAGCTCAACGAGCCAGGATTAGTCGTTACGCCGCCCAACCAGATTTCTTAGTTTATGGCGGCCAGCTTCTACCCGCGGAGCACAAGAGACACGGGTAGATCTTGGTCTCGCAGCCTCGCGGCAGGAAATTGTACGCATCCTGGGATCGCCTTGGAAACACAATCTCGTGATAGAACATCACGCTGCATCATGTCGATATACAGATACTGTGAATTAAAGGAAAGGGTATCATAGGATAATTTAGGAAAACACTGCGCATCTTTGCCATACAGCCATCCTGCAACCTCAAGGCCACTCCGTCGCATCAACTCAACCCTTCTGTCCCGTCGTGATCGTCTCGCTGCCCTTGCCATCTATGATTGAAGCCATGGCAACGACAATCTCTCCCTCCTTCTCTATCTGATCGAAAGCAGGCGGCGCTTCTCCATCTGTAGGTGGCTGGATCCAGGTCTCGTCCACCGGCGGGCGCACCCAGCTCGGGTCAGCCGCGGGGCCGTAGCTCGGCGCCAGGATGGTCAGCGGAGAGGTCATCTCATAGCTGACATCCTCGTCCGCGACGTTCATGCGCACACGCCATTTCAGCTGATGCGAGTGTCGGATATTCCACGTCGTGAAAGAGGGGTAAAAGGTCCCAGTGGAATGGTGCGGCTCGCGGAATCCGACCTGGTGGCCGCCGACGTCGAGGCGGAGATCGAGAAGCGCGCCAAAGTCGCAGGGCGCGACGGCATCGCCGCAGGGGATGAGGACGGGCTTCGCGAGCCTCGACAGGGGCCCGCGCAGCTGGAGTGGCTTCTTGTCCGTGTCGTCCGCCTTCTTGGCGCTGAAGGTGCCGACGCAGCGGATGGCTGTCGTGCTGTGAATCTCCATTGCAATGTCGACGAGCTTGACTTGCTGCGGCACCTTGGCGATGTCTTCCGAGGTGCGGCCCCAGTCCGGGACGGCCTTGACGTAAAAGGGAATGGCGCGTGGGCTGCCGAGCTGGATGACGGTCGGGTAGGCGACCTGAAGGGAGTAGGCGAATCGCGGCAGCTTCGAAGAGCCGAAGAGCTTGCGCGTCTTCTGATGGAAGCTCAGCTCGGCCGTTTCCATGCCAGGGACGAGGCGGTGGGAGGCGACGACGCGAAGCGTCTTGGACGTCTTGAGATGGCTGTAGGGGTCGACAGGACTGGCGGTCGCGGCACGAACATGGAGGGGCAGGTCGGCCTCCTTGGACTCGAAATGCCCCTCGCGTGTGTAGCGAAGCTCGGCGTGCAGCCAGTACTCGACGAAACTGTGGTGTCTCTGCGAGAAGATGCCGACGTCTCTAACGTAGAACGTCGGGGGCAAAGCGGTGGAAGCGACAGTCTCGGGGTCCAACGGCAGGAAGCACATGTCGGCATTGTTGGTCCGAGAGTTGAGAGCGAGGGGGCTGATGTGCGTCGGTAGGGTGACTGCAAAGGGCCATTCTGTTGTCTCGACGTCATTGGGAATGTGTAATGGTCCTTCATGGAGAGTCTGCGTCATCTCATGAGTATCAAAGTAATTGCAGCGGCCGCGATACGTGGCGCTCGTTTGACCATTGCTGACAACCAGGTGTGATTTGGAGCGGCCGTGAAGCTGAATCTTGACGGTCGCATGGGGGCTGACGAGGCCATGTTTCCGTGCGACAACCCCTATGAGGGTGTCACCAGCCGAGAAGAGCGGGTTGGGTGCTTCAAGGCGGATGCTGAGCACATTGCTTGTCTTTGCCGTTGTTCGTGGCATGGCGACGGTATTGGAAGTACGTAGGGTTGTGGGTAGCGTAGCTCCAGAGTCGTGCACCAGTTCAATGACTCGGGTGACAGAGGATTCATATACTCCTGACACACATGACGCACGTAGGTATGTAGGTAGGTAGCAAGTCGTGGGCGAACCGAGGCCTGAAGGCTGTCGTGATGGAAGCTCGAACGGTGGTTGGCTTACGTGTGCGGCGCAGTTGCTTGGCTGGGCTGCCCGACACAAGGCTGATGGGGCGCGGGGAGTGGCTGTGGGATTCCTCCGGGCCACTGGAGGAAGTGGCGTGGGGGGCGGCAGGAAGCGGGAAGGAAGAACGCCTGGCTGCGCTCGCTGCACATGGCACCTTCCGTCCCCAAGCTGGTCGCCACTGTACGTCAACGCTTCCTTCGCCCGGCTCCTTCCTCGATCCCCAGCGACCAAGTTCCTCTGTCGCTGAAGGACGAAAACTGAAGGGTAGGGCACTCGGGCAACTACAACCAAACCACCTAGGCAGGTGAAGCAGGCGGAACAGTTCTTTCCGTTTCCCGAGACCCCAGGCACGAGGCCCCAGGCACGAGGCCCCAGGCACGAGGCCCCAGGCCCCAGGCCCCAGGTACCACCTGGGTCGTGTCCACGCGATGGCATCGTCTTTTGCAGTGCACCAATTTCTTCTCTAATGATCAACAACCCCGCCTTTTGCAATCTGCAACCAACGAGTCGCAGCTCATTAATCGATCGCCCGTCTTACCGTTTAGCTCTGATCGCCTCGCATCACTAGTCCCATTGGCAACTGGGACTTTGACAGTCAACCGTCACTTCGATGGCATGGCTGCGGCCGAGCACTACGGACGACCCAGCGACTACGCCGATGCGACTACGCCGATGCAACTACGCCGATGCAACTACGCCGATGTCGATTTCCGACCCAAGATGATCCTGTCTCTACCATGGCCGGCCAGCCCGGACGACGCGGCTGCTTAACCGGCGGCACGTATGGCGAGTCATCTATGGATGACGCCGACAGACAACATGGCACCTGTCATAGCTGCTGGCTGAATCTATCAATCAATCTTTGGCAGACATCCGCTGCCGCAGGCAAAGCGCGAACAGACCCCAACAAACCCAGCAGCAATCTCGTTTTGCAAATCCCCGTTTCATCGTACCGCAAGTGAATGCAAGCGAGGTGGGCATCCCCCAGTCTTGCAGCCCGGTTTTTCAGGTCGAGGCCAGGGCGCCGGTTTCATCGCAGCGCTAAGACGTGCAGATGCACCCCTGGGGCGCTCTATCCCCGGCGCCGACGACTATTTGCCAGGCCTGCCCAGGACACTGCTCTGGCAAGTCCGGCCAGGCGATGGGTGCGGCTCTGATTACCACTGCTGACAGCTCCATCGCGGAATGGCCGACCAGGGTTGGGATTCGCTGCGCACGTCCACAATTGTTCGGGTGACTGCCGAAAGAAGCCAAGCAGATCACGAACAAGCAAGGCCGGCCGGCGGTCCAGAGGGGGACCAGCCAGCCGACATCAGACGACGGGAGATTCTCCGTGGCCCAACACTGCTGCAATGCATGTTCCCTACCGTTTCGGCTTGATGACCTCGAGTGCGGTGCCTCCAGCGAGCTTCGACCAACACGAGCGGCTATGCTGTCGATGAGCGCCTCCATCACATGGTCGTATCATGAATGGGGCATCGGAAAGGCAGGGGCGGGAAAGGGGTAGCGAAGAGAGTATGTGGGCTTCTACACGACGGAGTCTTCTTAGCTGGCAAGGACGAGGGGTCGTCGTCGTCGTCGTCGTCGTCGAGAATAAAGGCAGCGCCGCCGCTCCCCTCGACATCGTCTTGTCTCTCTTCTCCTCAGCAGCTTCTTCCTGTACACATTCTTTGGTTCTTTCAACCTTCTACCTTCTTTTTCACCATCAACTTCACATTCGTCGTCTTCACTGTGTGAAGCTGGGACACTCTTTTACCATCACTCATTGAATCAACACATTTGCACCTTCTTTCTTGCAAGCAACGTCCAACCCACTAGCTCCAGCCTTTTGACAGCCCACCTTTTTTCACCACACACTCCAAACATCAACATGTCTTCCATCAAGTCTACCATCGCCCTTGCTGGCGCCTTCGCCGCCACGGCCCTCGCCCACGGCACTGTCACCGGCTTCGCTGCCGACGGCAAGTACGAGGGCGGCTACAAGCTCAGCTACTACTACGACAAGATCAACAAGCAGCCTGTGCCTGAGATTGCCGCCTGGTCTGCCGAGAACCTCGACAACGGCTTCGTTGACGGCACTGGCTACGCCACCTCCGATATTGCCTGCCACATCAAGTCGGCGCCCGGTGCCACCACGGCCTCGGTCGCTGCCGGCGGCAAGGTCGACTTCTTCTGGTCCGACTGGCCCGAGTCTCACTTTGGCCCCGTCTTCACCTACGTCGCCAACTGCGGCGGCGACTGCTCGGCCGCTGACAAGGCGACGCTCGAATGGGTCAAGATTGACGAGGCTGGCTACAACGCCGAGACCAAGACGTGGGCTGCCACGGACCTGATCGCCAACAACAACACCTGGACCACCACTGTGCCTGCCACTCTGGCTGCTGGCAACTACGTCTTCCGCCACGAGATCATTGCCATGCACGGCGCCGGTGCCGTCAACGGTGCCCAGAACTACCCCCAGTGCATCAACATTGCCGTCACTGGCTCCGGTACCGACTCGCCCACTGGTGTTGTCGCCACGAAGCTCTACACTGCTGAGGACCCTGGCATTCACTTTGAGCCCTACGGCGACGTCAGCGGCTACAAGATTCCTGGTCCCGCCCTCTGGACCGGTGGTGCCTCTGCTCCCGCTCCCACGACCCCGACGACCCCCGGCGGCGGTAACGCCACCGAGCCCGCCGTCCCCGTGACCCCTACGGCTCCCGCCGAAGAGGTTCCCTCGACACCCGTCACCCCCATTGAGTCCTCGGCCCCGGCTCCCGTCGAGTCCTCGGCCCCAGCTCCTGTTGCCACTGAGGCTCCCACCACTCCTGAGCCCACCACTCCCGAGCCCACCACTCCCGAGCCTACCACCCCCGAGACTCCCACGACGCCGGCGCCCACCACGCCCGACGACGTCCTGCCCGAGAACTTCACCCTCAAGACCTTCATCGACTGGCTGAGCCAGTACCTTCCCGAGGGCAACGCGCGCCGCCACGCTCGCGACATGATGAACTAGACGAAACGTCATGAAACAAGATGTACGAAGGCTTGGGATTTTGAACGAGCTTTTGGGTTCCATGTGTATTTATTCATTCTTCTTCTCTGGTGTAAATAGCTGGTCAATTGAACCAAGATGTGTTTCTATCTCTGCTGTCGTGGTGCTGATGTGCTGTGACTCGTGTCGTCACCGAACGTGGAACCGGGTTTCCATCCGATGTGGTCGATCTCATAGCCGATCAAACCTACTGTGCTCGACCGACCCGTTATGGATCAGTGGGGGCAGTTCATCACAGATGACGATGGACGATCATACGAATACCAGGTTCAATTCAGAGCTGCTTCGACATGGCCCTGATGCCGATCTCAACCAGGCTTTGTATTTATGATATGCAAGATGCCTGTCAGAAAGCTCTCTCTTCGGAGCGTCCCTTGACTCACAATCATTCGTGGTCGAGGCGGGCGCCGGTACCAGCTATCAGGATGGCTATCAGGGGCGTGTCGGAGTTCGCCGACGATTTGATTCGGGAGCCTCTTGGGTGAGAGAAGCCAGACCGCTGAAATCTGCGCTGTCTCGGCCCCTCAACATGGATTCTCCACATCTGGATCCCCCCAGATCTGCCCTCCAAGATCTCTCACATGGCCGAGGGTGCCGGATTGCCGTGTCGTGGCCGCGGTTGCAGATAAAGAAATGGATCAAGACAGGCGATAGACAACAGGGCTCAACGCATGGCAGATTTCATTTCGCAAGGTCGCAGTGGCTGGTCGATATTGAAGTTTGGTTCCTGGCTAGCGACCCGGGTCCGGAAGGTCATGTCCATAATTGATAGCGCCAGGCCCAAAGCGGCCCATCGCCCCGTCTGGTGATGCTTGTCCCAAGCATTTCGGTGCGGGGATGGCTGCTGGTCAGGGGTATCACTGGAGAAGGATGTTGCCGACATGAGTGCTGCTCCAGCGGTATTGTCATGACAAAGGGTTTGTGAGGTTGGGTGATATTACATGGGGCCAGGCCTCCCGAAAACCTGTCGTTGATTCAACTCTTCTCTTGGGACGCGCCGCATTCCTTTGCTCTTTTATTTTCGGACGCCGTCCAATCCGTCTGTCACTACCTCAGCTCCATCATCATGACGCTCGCCAAGTCTCTCGCTGCGGCTCTGTCGTGCCTCACCCTGGCCCAGGCGACCTGCCAGGTGACTTCGACGTCTGACTCTGGCACGACGCTGTTCAAGGGAACGGTCCTCACCTCGGCCGGCGCACTGCCCAACGCGCGCCTTCTCGTCAGCAATGGGCGCATCAGCTACGTCGGCCGCCAGTGCGGTTTCAAGGCCGACGAGTCGGATGCCACCGTCATCGAGTGTGTCGGCTCGGTCATCTCACCGGGCTTCATCAACACGCACGAACACATCGAGTACGCGACGGTGACGCCCCTCAAGGACATTGGCGAGCGCGCCGACCACCGACACGACTGGCGCCGCGGCCTGCGAGGCCACACCATCCGCCCAGCGCCCGTCAACGGGTCGGCCGTCGAGGCCACGGCCTGGGGCGAACTCCGCCACCTCTTCTCCGGCACGACCTCGATTGTCGGCGGCGCCATGGCCCCCGGCCTCACGCGCAACCTCGACTACGTCGCCGGCGTGGGTCCGGAGATCCCCGCGCCCGTTGCCACCTGGGACATCTTCCCGCTCAACGACGCCGCCGGCATCCTGCGCAACGGCGACTGCGACTACGGCCCCAACATGACGACGGCCGAAAAGGCCGGCAAGCTGTACCGCTACATGGCGCACGTCGGCGAGGGCGTCGACGCCGAGGCCGAGAACGAGTTTCGCTGCCTGTCGAGCGCGACGTACGACACGACGCCCAAGGCCGGCGGCGGCGGGCTCAGCACCGACATCATCGCGCCCAACCTCGCCCTCATCCACGCCCTCGGCCTGACGAAGAGCGACTTTGACCTCGTCGCCGCGCGCAAGGCCACCGTCGTCTGGTCGCCCCGCAGCAACGTCTTCCTGTACGGCAAGACGCTCGACGTCCAGTACCTCCTCGACGCCGGCATCACCGTCGCCCTCGGCACCGACTGGCTGCCGTCGGGGTCGGCGACCATGGCGAGGGAGGCCGTCTGCGGCTTCGCGGCCACCAAGGCGAGCTACGGCCACGCGCTCGACGCCAAGACGCTCTGGGAGATGATGACCATCAACGCCGCCAAGGTGGCCGGCTTTGACCGCTATCTCGGCTCGTTCGAGGTCGGCAAGCTGGCGGACGTGGCCGTCTTTGCGGGCACGCCGAGGGAGGATGCCTTTGCGCAGGCCGTCTTCTCGTCGGGCGAGGATGTCGAGCTCGTCATGCGCGGCGGCAAGATTCTGCTGGCCGCGGAGAAGATCAAGCGGGCTGCGACTGGTGCGTGCGAGTCTGTCGTCGTCGGCCACTCGAACAAGACCATCTGTGTTGAGGAGGAGCTTGGGAGGAGCTATGCCGAGTTGAAGAGCAAGCTTGGCGGTGTGTACCCTGCGCTTCTGCCGGGGGTGCCGTCAGGGGAGCCCACGTGTGAGCCGACGAGGTAAATCAGGGAAATGAGGCGAGCTGCAGAAGATGGGTGAAGACTAATGATATAATGTTGTATTACCGCGCTTGACCTCACTGGCGACCCACGCACGCCAAAAGAGCCACTCAAACTGTGACTATGACCTTTCCCGTCGACGATCCTGACTTGACCCTGGCCACAGCCTTGGGCATGTCCTCAAACGTAAACACAGAATCCACCACTGTCCTGACCTGGCCGTTCGCCATCCACTCGGCAATCTGCTCGAAGCCCGCCCGGTTGCTCTTTGCAAAGTACGCCTCAAACTTGGCCTTCCCTCCGCCCAACATGCTCGGGCACGCCGAGTTCTTGGCTATGGTGCGCATCGTGCTGCCGTCGACCTGGCCGGGCACCATGACGTACTTGCCACCCTTCTTGATAAAGTCGTTTGCGGCGCGGTACAGAGCGGCCTCCTCGCGGTACGCAAAGTCCGCGACGAGGTCAAACACCTGGCCCTTGGCCTTGAGCGCCGCCACGAGATCCTGCGTCCGGTAGTCAATGACCTCGTCGGCGCCGAGCTCGGCGCACAGCGCAACCTTGGCCGTCGACGCCGACACGGTGACGCGCAGCCCGTGCGCCTTGGCAAACTGAATGCCGTACGTTCCCACGCCGCCCGTCCCGCCGTTGATGAACACGGCGTCGCCGGCCTTGCTGTTGAGCACGATGCTCTCGTATGCCGTCATGGCTGCCGTGCCCACGCCCGCCGCCTGTTCGAAGGTGACGTTGGGCGGCATGGCGACGCAGCCCTCCAGCTCCGACACGGTGAACTCGGCCATGGTCCCGGGGATGCTCTTCTGCGTGTCGACCCGGCCGAAGACACGGTCGCCGGCGCGGAGGACGGAGACGGCGCTGCCTGTTGCCGCGACCTCGCCGCTGTAGTCCAAGCCTGGCAGCGGTGTCGGCTTGATGAAGGCTGTTCCCGGCAGCCCCGTCATTTCCGCGAAGAGGGGGTCTGCCGGGTTGATGCCGACGGCCCTGACGCGCACGAGGATCTGCGTCGGTTTGAGGGCTTTTGGGGGTTTCGGGTGGTCTTGGTCCAGAACTAGGCCCCGTTCCAGTGGGAGGTTCTTGTGCTTGTGTATCCAGGCGCGCATCTTGTCGTCGGACGTCATTGTGCTGGGCAACTTGTCAAGATTCAAGGGGAATGTCGTGGTGGTGAAGAGGTTGCTCATGGCATGGAGAATCTTGCTCAATTCTGGTCAGCACGGCATTCAAGTATTGATCCATTTCACCTCAATCAAAACAGGCAAGCGAGAGGCATCGGAGCCGAGGTGTATCTGATGCCGACCACCATGGGCGATCGTCCGGCCATGATGCAGTACTCCGGAGCCGTGGAGACGGCGACCTCGGTCGGATTTGCGTGCGCTTCACGGGCCAACCCCGATATCTGGTGTTCCGTGCGTCGCTAAGTCCGGCCCCAAAGCCGGAGCTGAGTCGTATCCCGGCAGTTTACTTGCGTACGGCCGCAGAGAGCACGAGTCGGAAAATGGTGACGGATTTAACGGGTGTTCTTATCTCCATGATTTCCTTCCCCTTCACCACATAAGTGTTCAGCGCAGAGCATTCATGCCATGATGATCAAGCAGCGGCCTCAATTACGCCGACTGTTGCGCTGGGGCTTGGCTCTCCACAAACCTTGTTTGCGGACGCTGGGCCTAGCTTTACTGCTTGGATGTGGCTCTTGCATCCGACACGAAGTTTGACTCAGCAGATAGCATCCTGGTATCGCAGATGAGAAATCAATCATAAAAGAAATAGTCACCGGGGCCGGATCGACAGTCATGGCCGGATCTTGGAGCGTGATCGCCGTGGTGCCGGCCGGGCCGTATCATGCCGGAAGCGAACTTCTTCCGATCCAGCACCGGCAGCATACACACAGCTTCGGGGCTCCGCAAGGACCCTGTCGCCCTATGATGGACACAGGAAGCTTGCTGCTTCTTTGTTGATGATACGTCAGCTCGCAGCCATGACCTCAAGAGCGCGGGGTCACCCTGACCCCCTGACTTGAGACAACACATGCTCTCATGGTTCTCCCCGGAATATATCGGGCATTTCAGCTCTGCCTCATCACACCATGGATCGGAAGTCTGGTTTCCGTTGGATTTGAGCCTGATTCGGGATGTGGGGGCTGCCGTGTGGCGGGCTGGGCCCTTCATGCCGGCCGTTGCACCATATTGATGCCCATCATATCTGGACCACAACCCCGAACTAGGTACTTCTCTGCATATAGACGCCGCGCAGGTAAGATGGCATCTTACATATTAAATGCAGCCGTCTTCACGCTGGATGGCTTAGCTCTGCAGCTAGTGATCAGGGAGTTGGAAAGTCTCGTTGACAGGCGACGCCCATTTGTTGCAGCACCTACTCTATTCAGCCACGCTAGCATGAAGTCGAACTGTTCGCAGCACACCTTGATCCGTACTTGTTGACTTCTCGTGTGCGTGAATCGGATCATCGAATGGATCAGCTACACGACCGCCCTTTTCCCACGATCTTCATCAACCACTGGCGCGCGCAGAACCAGCACATACGACCATACCTACTGGAAAACTCGGGATCCCGTCCGCTCTCCCAGCG